GCCCCTTTTTTTCAAATTTGGCAAGTCTCAATTAACCTAAATGTAACCTTTTTAATTTTCCATGAAATATTTAACTCCTTATCAAAACTTTACCAATATCAATTTAATATGACTAGGCGGCTCTAGATTGAATTATAAAATATTAACAAATCATACGACAATTACTACTAACTGAAATATAATGCGTGGAAGGGGCTGCATTTCTTTCATGAACAATTGTGATGGGAGTTGGCCCAACAAGCTACACACCTATTTACTGTGTTACATAGGTTATTTGAAAGTTAAAAAAAAAAACTACTGTTAAAACAAATTCAAAACTTATTGCTTATGAAAATTCTTCTTGTGTGCTTCTCTTGCTCCATCAATGATCAATGACATTGTCCCGCCTCTGGTGTTGCCAAGAACATAATTTTGATGCATGAGCAAGTAACTTAAGAGAGTAGCCTAGGAAAGTAAATTTAACCTTTAGTTCTAGAATCCTGATAAAATGGATTTAGCACTCAAAATTGGGTTGAATCCAACAAGAACATTGACGGATCTCATTAATTGACTATTCTTGATGAGACAACTAGACTTGAGCACAATTCATGCAGACTAGTGAGTTCAATTTAACTCAGTGTATAGATATTTGTTTTCACAGTTTGCATGATATTTATAAAAAGGAATGGATGTAAAGTATATTTTAGATATACTTTAAAAGTTCAAAGGAGCCATTGATAAGTATTTGTCATTATATGTATTAAGCAATTCAGTTGAAAAGGGTAACAACCTAAAATCAAGATTAAAACAAGTCCATTTCATAAAAATGGAAAACAGAAGAATATGAATATTTTCATATCCATATATCTTTATGCACACTCCTATAAATACTTATTATCTTGATAAACTGTGACTATAATTAACCACTTAGCTAGGATAATCCAAAACAACAAGCTTCATATAGATGAAAATCATCAAAAAAATTGTGCAAACAGTTATGTTCTGCTGCACTGAATATGTATATCCAAGAAAAGGATGTCAAAATTTTCAGAGGACGAAAAACTCATTGTACCTCATTGCTGAGTGTTTATTTAGATCCCCATGCTCAATCTATACAATGTTCATTTCCAACTAACTTGCCAAATTTCTTACACGTTTTGTCAATGTATTAGTAGTAGCAGAAAATGGTATAAATATGTAATCCTTGTAAACAATACATAATGCAAGGCAAAATTAGTAGAAATAATGATAAATAGACATGCTAAAGGTAAGAAACATGACATGGGATGAAGCTAGAAAAACAAAAATGTGGTCTAGTAGCGAGCGTCAAATAAGAAAAATTTAGCATTCGTCTTCTCAATAAAACATTTGAAAGAAATTTTTACAAAACTTCATATACATATGAGAAAGCTACCAAGTACACAATAAGAATCATCGAAGTGACGATAAAACAAATTGTATATATTTTTAAAAACTAATCTGTCCATAATAAAGAAAGAAATAGGGATAACCTCAGTAAAAAGTGCTCTTGATGGGTGACCAAATTTAGCTCTCTCGATCAAAGTTCTTTGGACTCACTTGCCTAGAAGCTTCAGCTCCTTCCCATAAAATTATTAGCACCACACCAACGATGTGAATTGATTGAGCAAGAATTTGATCATTCTATTGCTCCTCCATGGCTTTCTTGTCTGATCTTTACATAGACTCAGCCAAGATGAAGTCCTTAGCTTATTAATCTTGATTAACACTTCCATAAAATTTTGGAGGTGTTGGCAGTTCACCTTATCATGGCCATGATTATTATGGAAAGTACAACATTCTAAAAGACCTTGGGCATGAGAACTTGTCCTTGTTGGTACTGACTAGTTAAAGTAATATTTATCTTAAATGACTTCAACAATTTCAGCCATCGAAACTCTAAAAGGAGTGAATGCTGAATATTTGATGTGGAGGCAAGCTTCTTTTTCCCATATCAATGTTGCTTCTTTTTCCCGTGATAGGGTTGGTGTAGCTCCTGTGACAGACAAAATTAGAGAAAGTCATCTTAGATGGTTTGGTCACATTAAACGTCGACCATCTGATGATTCGATTAGGAGAGTAGATGTTTTATATTCGACTTGTGTTAAGAAAGGCAGAGGTAGACCTAGGAAGACTTGGGCTTATTGTATTAAAAATGATCTTAATTTACTATAACTAAATGAAAATATGACACTAAATAGGACGCAATGAAGAAAAAGGATTCATGTAGCCGACCCCACGTAGTGGGATTAAGGCTTTGTTGTGGTTGTTGTTGTAATGTTGCCCAAATTTTACTTACACCTTTCGGGGCAATAATCATGATGTTGTGACCATTATAGTTGTTCATGTTAAGGATTTTATTAAAACGACTTATGGATTGACTTTAGATTTATAAGTAGACCTAAATGGTCCTTGAAATCACATGAGTTTCCCAATTCAAATGAAATCGGGTTACTGAGGAAAAGTCAAAACAATTGACTCACTGTTATACTCCTTACCGTTGATATGATTGCTTTGGTGAGTACAACCAACTTGATCAAAGTATTCATTGTGACAAACCAAGACCATATCGAAAGAGTCCTAATCTCAAACCTTAAGTGAGCACAGTTGTGCCACAGATAGCTCCAAATCCTTTACTTCCAACATCTCCATTGAAATATCACAGCAAATTTTCCAAGTACTCGAGCTACTCCATGCTCATCTTCCATAAAGCTTTAGAATTCATGTCATGTTCTATGCAGTAGCAAATGGGGTGGCAAATTGCCTCATAAATTTATCAAATGAAGTTAAGGTCCAAACGAAAGAAAAGAGGATCACATTGGTGGCATTCCTTGAAGGTAGTGAAAAATAATCAACACCTTGGTAAATCATTGATATTCAATAATGAAATGATAAACTCAAAATAAGAAGCATGGTCCATTGGGTTCATTTTCCTCTCATACCAACACCCAGCCAAGTGCAAAATTTTGAATAATGTTGGAGATTGTGCCTCAACAATTCCACTAAGAGAACATACATTTATCTGATGTTGATGCTTCTAAGACCTCCATCATATTTGTGTTTCTGCATTGCTCGTTGGGAAGTAAATTTCATCAATCGTAGGAATGACAATGCTTAGTTGCCAGCAGACGAGAGAATCTAAGGGGGTCCATTAATAGGAAATTCAACTCATGGAATAGTTCTTGAAATATACTAAAAAACTACTTGGATCATTCTAGTAAATCGTTCCTCCATTTGATTGAGCTTGTTTGTCGACGATGAAGCCTTGCTCTTCCATTGGAATTGATCTCACCCTGACTTACTATAATACTTGGCTTTTTGTCCTTGACATTTTCTCGCGCTCGCACCATATAAAATGATGTTGAATCCAAAGTTATTTGTGGATGACACCAATACCATAATAGCAAGATGACTTGGGAACAATAAAAAAAGAGGGCCAAAAACAAAACAAATCTGTAGTAAAAAGCTCTAGAAGTTTACTAGATTGAAAAAAAGTTCAAGACTTGCATCAATGATTGATGTGTCAAGCCCACCCTCAAACCCCTTATTTATTGACTTAGGTTGAACCGCAACCTTACAAAAACTAAACTACACTTAGAAAATGAGTAAAATTGCATAACAATGCTTAATAAATGTTTGTTATAAAATGAATGAACTTAGCTAGTTTATACCCACTTGATTAAATAGAAGCAACTACTAATTTTGTAAGGGATGAATTTAACTGAAGTCACCCTGCAGTGTTAGTTAGATTGAACAGTCAGGTTCAAGTCTAACTCAAAGTTAACTCAAGCAATCATAATATACTTGACCCAAATCCGATGTGTTTATTATATAGGTAAAAATATTTACTCAAGCCCACCTCAATCAAAACATGCCTAGCCTGATCCATTTAACCTATTTTTTAAAGGAATCATCAAATTTTTGAATCAAAACAGCCTAATTAACCTAAATATGACAAATTTAACCCAATTAATCAAACCCAAACCTACCAATCTCCATCTCAAATAATAACGTGGTCAAGTTCTAAGAAATTTTAAGTCAACATAAACATGAACCAAATAATAATCAAGGCTATAATATTAACCTGAACCAGGCCTGAATATTAATCGGGTTATCCCAAACTTAATTTTTTTCAATCAAATTGTCACATCAGGCCATCTTTTGCCCCAAGAAGTCACCCATCAACTTCACTTGCATTTCCGAAGAACACGCAAGCAATTTTGACGCATAAGCAATTAGATTAAGTGAGTAGCCTAGGAGAGTAACTTTGGCCTTTGTCTCGAGTGTCCTGATAAAATGGATTTACCACTAGAAATTGGCATTGAATTCAACAAGCACCATGGTATCTCTCATTAACTTACTATTTTTAATGAACCAACTAGAAGTAAGCATAGTTCACGCAAAAGAGAGCATTCAATTTAACTCAGCCTATAAATATTTTTTTGCCAATTTGCACAATATGTTAAAACAGGAATGAATGTAAAGCCAATTTTAGGTATACTTCAGAAGTTCAACGGAACCATTGATAAGAATTTGTCATCACAAATTAAGAAAAAAAGTTGAAAAGGGCAACAACCTAAAATCAAGAACAAGACAGGTCCATCTCATAAAAATGGAAGACGGAAGGCAATGAATAATTGCTTATTCTTATATCCTTATGTACACGGGTCTAAATACTTATTATGTTGATAGACCATGATTAAAATTAACCACTTAGCAAGGATTATCAATAACATCAAGCTTCATATAGATGAAAATTTTTAAAAACTTGTGCAAGCCAATATGTTTTGCTGCACTTAATGTGTATTTACAAAAAAAGGATGTCAAGATTGTCTTTGGACACAAAAACAAAAAAATAATATATATACCCCATGCTCAACCTCTAAATTGTTCAATTGCATCTAACTTTTCAAATTTGTTACAGTATTTTCAATGTAGCAGAAAATGGCGCCGATATGTAATCCTTGTAAACAATACATAATGCATGGTAAAAGTTGTAGAAATAATGTGAATGGCATGCGCTAAAGATAAGAAACATGATACAGCATTAAGCTTTAGCATTCCAAAGGAAACAATACATCATAAATAAGCGTTGCCTCTGAATGTCATGCACTCATGGAAACTAGTACTAAAACAGTTTTTCACTCGGAGCAACTTGCATCACTTTCCAAACTAGGTAAGCTAAATAAAAAGGGAACTCGAACGCTAAACATCTACTGATCACAAATCTAAGTAAATCCTGTATGTATAATACCAAAACTCAGCGACCTTTAGAAAGAGCATCATCCATCTCCTTTGTTGTTGAAGGAAATAACTCAATATAACGCCTCCCCAGAGTCATTCTATCCTTTGCCATTGCAGAACGTGAGGCAACTGCATTTGCAAATTCTACGTAAGCTTCCCCGCTTGGCCTACTTTCTGCATTAAGCACTATATAAATACGTTCTTCTGATAGTTCATAGTCCTTAAAGAAGTCCATGATGTCCTCCTTCCCAGCAGAATATGGCAAACCCCTCATTCTCAATATTCCAGTGTGCTCAATTAGATCCTTTCCTTCATCATTTGATTTTACCCTAGGAGCAACGCGACGTGGAGAACCACCCCTCATATCTGAAAGTTCATTTGCTATAGCACTATAGTATTCTTGCCTTGAGCTTCTGAAAACCTCTACGTACCTTCTACCCATGTTTCGCCTATCCCTCTGAATGGCAAAATCTACTTGAAGGGGATATGCCAGGACACAATAAGCTTCTCCAGTAAATCGGCCACTTTTATGAATAAAAAGAATGTCCAATAGATCCAGACCATGGAGAAAATCAATAATATCAGCCTCTGTACAATCAAAAGGAAGGCCGCGCAATCGAACAACCGGAAATGGTGGAGGTTCGCCACTATACGCATAAGACGCATTGTACATCAGACCTGAACTGGATGGGACCCCAAAATAAGATGAACCTGAATCAAAAAGGTGTGGCCGCTTCAGCCCCATTTCATGTCCATCACCACCATCGACATATTTCCTTTTGGCATGAAAACATAAAATAAAAAAAAAAGTTATAAAAAGCAAAACTGCTGCAAATACACTTATTAGAACATAAGAACAGGGACCTATCTTAAATCAACTGGTTAATAATGAGAACAAATATGTTAAGCTCAAAACAACCACTAGAATTTATTTATTTGGATAATGAAATCATAAAAATCATACAACAAGGATCCCCCAGCATAAAATGTTGACAAAAATGTACTCTTATTAACAAAGGGAACAAAGATTAAAAGAAGTGTAAGACCAAAACAAACCAGCAGAAAATCAAAGTATTATTTGATGAAATAATCAATTCAAATAAATCGTGAGAAGAAAACCAAATTCCTACACTATAAAACTGTGCACTAACGAAAATTATCATGTATGGTTTTGAATCAGTCTGAGTAGAAACTGAAACCCTAGCCGGCACTAGAAGGATCCTCGTGCCTAGGTCCACCCACTCCTTAAAAAAGGAGAAAAGCTTAACCGACATCAAGGTTCAGGTGATAGAATAATATACTAATACTCAACATGGTAAAAATAAAATTAAAAATGAAATCAAAAGGCCAACATTTCATTATGGCAAAAGATAAATGACAAAATAAACGTTTAATAAAAGCATAAATATTTCAATGAAACAGAAAAAGAACCAGAAAGTAATGTAAGGAAAGGTACAACAATGCTCCAACCATTTCTGCAAGGAACAAAGAAAGAAAACAAACGTAGGAGGATAAGACAATGCGGAAAAGGATTACATTACAGCAGGAACTGGTAAACTGCGCAATCAAATAGCATACCAGAGATCATCACCTTCTAAATTACATTCACATATATCTCTGAAACAGTAGAAGAAAGAACGCATATGCTAGCTTCGAAACATTAGAAGAAATTTCATCGAGACAAGAAAAGAATCTAATAGAACATCAAAATCTGCGTGTAAATCATCCAAAAGCGATTAATAAAAGGTGAAAAACCCTAGCATTTCAATGGAGACACTCTTCCATTCAGATACAAGTAACGCTCTGCACCTCTTCGAGAACATCTATGCCGGACTTGACGAACCCTAAGCAGCGCTCCCAGAGAGGAAATTGCAGAGCTGCACAGAAATGCCGTTCAGTATGTGTTAGTTTAGGCCAAATTTTTTGAACAGTGGAATTAAATACGGGAGATTTAACCTTTATTTATTTTTTTAGGGTTTAGGGTTATATAGCACTCAATTTTTCTATTTGCATAAAATACACCTAAATTCTTAGTATTCATCTGATTAAGTAGTTGGTATTCAATTAGTTTTTTAAGTTAACGAGTCGAACATGAATAATTTTTTTAAGCTTGAATTAGGGGTGTAAACGAGTCCTGAGCATTCGTGTTCAGCTTATTTATATTTCGAGCTTTTTGCTCAGCTCGTGTTCGGCTCGTTTATATTTCGAGCTCAAAAAGTGTGTTCGTGTTCGGCTCGTTTGCTTAACGAGCCGAGCACGAGCTCTTCGCGAACAAAGAGTACTTTTAACAATTTTAAACATGTAGCCATAAAACAATAAGGGTTTGAGCAAGATTTAAAAATTATTATTTATATTAAACATCATTTGAATCTAATTTAATAATTTTTATTCTATTTTCTTAATCAATATTTTAATTGATTATATATATATAAACTTGATGAGTAGTATTTCGAGTCAAAACGAGCCGAACACGAACGAACACATCTTAGTTCGTGTTCGGCTCGTTAACTTATCGAACGAAATTAACGAGCCGAACATGAGCTTCTTAACGAGCCGAACACGAGCTGTTCGCGAACAACGAGCCGTTTTGACAGCCATAGCTTGAATTATAAACGAGTCAAACAGGACAATCATTTGTTCGCTCATATTCGGCTCATTTTAGCTCTAAATAAGGAAACTATATATATATTTTTTATATAATAATATATTATGTATATTCATATCTAAGTTTAAATCATAATAGCTCGTATGGTGATGTGGTTGTGCATCTTCTATTGCACAGAGTTAGAGTTGGTTCAAATTCAACACCCTATATCTATTTTTTCAATTAATTTTAAAAAATCAATTTATAGTCAAACATGAACCAGATTATTTAAATTGAGTCGAATACAAATACTTCACGAGTTAATTTCGAAGGCGAGCAATTTCAAACAAGCAGATTTTGAGCACAAAAAAAAATTTGAACGAGCTGAACAAGAGCCAAGTATGTGCTCGCTCAAGCTCAGCTCATTTAGAGCCTAACCGTTAGAACTGCAAGCTAAGAATATGAAAGTAATTACACGATAAGGGATTGCTCAGTTCTTCCTTCTAGTGAGAGGGCTTCTGACCAAGGGCTTACGTATTCTGGAGCTGCACCTGGAGATCAGTCAGTGGAGAAGTCTAAGCGAAGGTTGGTGAACTAGTAACTATTAGGATGGAATCGAATAGGACATGCTCTTATAATGTTTTCAAAATCGGATCGAATATGTCAGAATCGATGGTTGGTCCGGTCTAAATATACCAAAAAATCTATGTTGCAACTCAAACCCCCAAACCCATTTGAACCAGCAATCGAACTGATAAATCGGTAAACCAATTCAATTCTCATTGGAATCCAACCACGGAGCTACAACCAAACCGATAATAATTAATCCCAAGGCATAAAGCCCATTTGTTGTTACAATTGTTGTGGTATGCCTTTCAATTTAAAAGAAACACGCAGCAAAGTAAAAGAAGAAGATTTAAGGATATGGGACTAAAATATTAAAGTTAAAATAATTAATAATCTTTTTTCTTTGCCTTTATTGGCCTATACATAATTTTAGTTACTCTTATATTATTTTTTTTCTATAATTTAGGAAATGGTGATGTGCATATAACCAAATATTATATATATAT